ACCAGCTCCCTGGGGTTCCATCTTGTGTGTTCTCCCCCATTTCTCTCTTCAGAGTTTTTCTATCTCTCCACACAGTAATATGGATATGGCCCTCATTTTGCCATTTCACTCTCCTCTTGTCGCGCCGGGTGCTATAGGGAGTGCTGTGGAGGGGAAGTGGAGAGGAGGAGGGTGACCATAAATGCTAAGAAAGTCTTCTTCTATACACCCTCACCTCTCTGTCACCAGGACTACAATTAGGATTGCTTAGCTATTATTCCCCTTCTGGCATTCTTCAGTTTTCCAGTGAGAGAAGAAAAAGAAGACCAGGGAGAGTGAAAGAGTCGCCCAGTCCCAAGGGCTGCTGCATGCAAACCAGTCTGCCTGGTCACTTACTGTCTTACTTGGGGGTCCTCCTGGACATCCCTCATCAACACATTTCCATCATCCTCCTGGAGGTGTGAAGGCTGAGGCTCATATCCACCATCTTCATATTGAGGGCTCCTCTTGCCAAAATTACTTTGGAAAGAACTCCAAACTTTCTTTCTTCCTTGAGGTGAGTTACCACCATCGTTGTATTCTCAAAAGGGGAACAAAAATACAAGTTTGAAGACACATCAGTGGTCCACTTACCGTGCACCACATCTTAGGCTAACACCATGGTAGGGCAAGCAAAGTGTCAACCTGCCCTAAGGGTCCAATCTCTCAAACCCTGGAAAGGAAACTCCTCTGCTTGTCCAGATAGGAGAGCCTTATTTGACAGATGGCACTATCAGGGTAGGAATCTTGGGGGAGGAGGAGGAGGAGAAAACTGTATTGAACCTTTTAAAGAAGGAAGCAGATTTATTAAAAAAAAACAATAGAAAACAAAACAAAACAGAGATGTGTGCATCCATGGGTTAGACTGGAAACCAGCCATACACAGGGAAGACATCTGAATTGTACCTTCTCTCAGGCCTGTCTAAAAACAACACCAATACCAGGGAGGCAATCTCTCATGCTTCCCAAATACAATCAGCCACCAAACTGATCCCACTAACAATCAGCAAGCTGTACTTCCTTTGCTGGTGTAGTTCAAGCTTTAATGTCAGGTGGGACTGATGTAACAGCCTCCTAAGCTGTCCCCCTCCCTCCAGCCTTGCGGTCAACAATACTCAGTTTGAAATATCCAGAGTGAGCTTTCTTTTTGTCCAGCCTGAAATGCCTTTCAGCTGAGGGGACAACTCTTCCTAACCTCAGCTCCTCTATAACAAGGATCTGAATGACAAACTGGGATAATATGTCAACTAGCATTTCCAAGTGTGTAGGAATTCTTCTTTTTCCTTTCTATTATTGATTTCCAATTTGGGTCTATTATGGTCAGAGAATGTACTCTGTGTGATTTCAATTCTTTTAAAATTTGTTGAGGTTTGTTTGATGGCCCAGGAGATGATCTAGCTTGATGAATATTACATAGATATTGGGGGGCAAATGTACTTTGTTGTCGTTGGGTGGAGTGCTATATTTATTTCATATAGATCCTATTTATTGTGCTATTCAGATCTCTTATATCCTTGCTGGTTTTGTCTCTAGTAATTTTATCCCTTGCAAAGCAGGGGAGTGGTGTTGGAGGCCCCAACTATAATTATGGATATGGTTATTTCTCCTTTCAACTCTATCAGTTTTTTGCTTCATGTATTTTGAATCTGTTTGGTCTGTACACATTTAGGATCATTATGACACCCCAGTGGATTGATCCTTTTATCATTACATAATGCCTCTTTCTGTCTCTTATCAATTTCCTTTGCTCTGATATCTACTTTCTTGGATATTGTAACCACAGGTATACTTAGTGTCTTGGTGATACTTCACCCTGTATTCACTCTTAGGAGTTGTATTGATGTCCACCCCTCCCCCTGCAAATACTCCCTGCTAACATATATAATTTGCCATGTGGAAAGATTTGGAAATTTTCTGGCATCTACAGAAGTAAGAGTCCCAATTCTCTCTCCCACAGTGGATTCACTAAGGGTATTTTATTTTTACCACATTCAAATGAAACAGTGTAACAGCAGATAATAATACTAGTGGTTTGAGTAGGCAGTGGGGGGAGGATTAAGGTACCTAGACTGGTAGAAAACAGCTTCTTTTTGGGTTCTAATATTTAAGGCTGTCTCGGTTTGTGTGTTGTACATTTTGTACCTAAATTACTCCACGCTGTCTCAGGGCACACTTATGAGTAAAAATTTGTTCACTACTGATTGCTCCATGATGTAGTGATTACGACCATGCCTCAGATTAATTCCTCTGGAGAGTCATTGCTTTCAGTATGTGACCTTGCTGTCAGGATAATCCTGTACTCACCACCTTCGGGACCTTCCCTGTGTGGTACTGGAAGTGGAATTAAACATGGGTAGAGCATTTGACCCTGAAATGCCAATGGCTCAGTCCTCAAAACTTGGAAGCAGCCTGGAGTGCTCTCTCTCTCTCTCACACTCCACATCCAACTGATCAGGAAATTCTCCTGTCTCCTCTCTCCAGTACATCCAGAATCTAGCCATTTTTCACCACCGCCATTATTACCACCCTGGCCAAGACACCAACGTCTATATCCTAGATTATACTGCCTTCCAACTGGTCCCTCTACTTTCATCCTTGCTCCCTTACCGTCTGTTTTCAGCCCAACAGCAGAACATAATGCAAATCATTTAACTCCTCTGCTCAAAACAATGGTTTGAAGCCCATCAACATGTTAAAAAGCCATGAGTTCATAATGATACTAAACAACAATAACAACAACAAAGAGAAACCTTATTAGTGACCTTTGGAGAATGTCAGAAAACCAACTGATTTTCATAAAAATCCACCAATGAAAGGAAAAACTCAAATATTAAAAATAATAATAATCCATGGTTAACATATGGTGTGTATGGGGCGTCAGAGTCATCTTTGAGAACTGACATTACTTCAGAAATAACGTTGTCAAGGGGAAAGTGTTAAAAGTGAGCCAGGTAACAGCTACAGCAATCCCCAAACTGACCAACCAAGTCTAAACAGGGCCAGAGGCCTCCCTCATCAAGGTGATTCAGACAAGAGCGATCTCAAGCATAGCCTTGTTTTGGGAATCTCATAGGACAGTGGGCATGTGATTAAAAAGCCAGAGAGACCATGCACACACACATGTGCACACACGCATATCCACTTACTGAAGGGTTGCCTCTCAGCATGATCCTTGTCTCACTGTCATGCCTAAAACAAAGGCAACAACAGGAGCATCGGAAATCAGCTGGTGCCTCTCACCCAGGCTGCCTGGGTTTCCCCTCAGTCTCTACCACAGTATTAACTGATCCTCCCATGAAGAAATGGTTGTGAGTATCCTTTACGACATCATGCGTGTTCGCATGGCTACTTCCTGTGTCGGTTTGGAATTCTGCCTACATCATTGCTATGCCATCGAGTACATGGTAATGGCATCCCTGCTATGGTAGGGAAAGAACAGGGTGAGAAGTAAAACACCACTTGCCCAATGGCAACCAACATTGGCTCAGTGTTGCGCAGACTCACTAGAGTTCTTTGACCTCCTCACAGAAGTCCAAAAGCGATTGTATCCACAGTCCCTTTCCAGATCATGATTATTAGGCTCACAGGTGTTAGGTACATGTCCCAGGATTTCTCAGCCAAGTCAGTGGTGGAACAGAAATTGTGTCCTCACCTATTGGTCCGCCTCCACATCCTAAGTGTTCCTCTAGCTAGTGTGCTTATTCTCCTTTAATGGTGGACTTTCAGGTCTCAAGGACAGATTTCTGTGAGCAGACCAGGGATGATGTTTTGTGAGCAGGAGTTAGTCATTCTTGCTTGGGTGGGTACAGGTGCCTTGGACCAAGTGGAGATATGGGTCTTGAACTAGATGAAGAAATCTGTTTGGATCACAGTGTTTGCAGATTAGGAGTCACTCTGAGGTGGCACTGTCTGGCATATAATGGGGCTTAATTAGTATTTGTTAAATGAATGCAGGCAATGTAGATTTGCGATCAACAAAGCCACTTTTGAGAATCCATACATCTCAATCATTTCTACCCACATCTACTTATTCCAGAAAAAAATGGGCTGCAGAACTGTTTCACAACCTGCTTGTAAAACTACCATGTGTTGAATTTGTCTTTTGCAAAATTAGTATTTTTTATTAGTGTACAATTAGAATTAGAGCTAATTACCCACCTCTTGATTAATGCTAAAACTACTGCTTTTCTGATCTGAGGATGCTTTTTTTTTTTAAATTTTATTTTATGCTATGTTAGTCACCATACAATACATCATTAGTTTTTGATGTAGTGATCCAGGATTCATTGTTTTCGTATAACACCCAGTGCTCCATGCAGTACATGCCCTCCTTAATACCCGTCACTGGCTAACTCATCCCCCCACCCCCCTCCCCTCTAAAACCCTCAGTTTGTTTCTGAGAGTCCATAGTCTCTCATGAGAAAGGGAGGCTTTTGCAATCTGGTGGCAGAAATGAGAAGTTTTCCTTAAATCCAGCTGATATAGCTTCCTGGGTGCCTGGTATATGTAGGAAGAATGTTCTGGACCTACATGTATGTCTGTGAGTGCTCAGTTTTGTGACAGCAGTATGGTCCTTGTCTCAGAGGAAAACAAGAGTGTGTGCATGAACATGTGTGTGTGCATGGGCATGTGTTGATATTATCAGTTTTACATTTGTATAATTAGATTACAGATACATGCATTTCAAATCATGTTAGAAAGTACATTGCCACACAAAACAGGACCCTAAAGTACATTTTCTTTTCATGTATTATATACTATATATACACCCAATATTTGCTTCTTGTTTTTAATATGCCCTTTAATTTTTTTTACATCTTGGCATTTTAATATTTGAATTGATTTTCAAATTTGAAGTATTAGAATTCTCTATACAAGGTATTTCTAATGGTGGAAGCCAAATTACCAAGTGGAGCATGGCGTGAGATTTAGGACAGTTCCAGGTTTTTATTCTGTGCTCTACAGCTTCCCAGAAGAAGCACATCATATTTTAAATTATAAGAGACAATTTCCTAAGGATATTTACACCAATATACTTCTCCACTAACAGTGCAGGAGGATCTAATTTCCTACAGTATGCTTAACCATTCAGAAGTCATTCTTACACTTTGACCCAGACATTTCACTTTAAAATATTCTATGCCAAAGTATATACTTATAATTATATGTCTGTGCTTTATAGGCTCTTTGACATAGAAAGACAATGGGATCAGGGAGTGGCCGATATCGACAGAAGAGGGGTAGAAATGATTGTCCCTCGAATCAAGGATGGGAAAGAAGGGGCATGGATACCTGACATACAGAGCAAAAAGGCCAAGGGATGGATGTATGGGCCAGAAAGATGAGGGTGATCATTGGGAAGAGAATGAAACACAAATGGAAAAAGTCTATGAAGAACTGAATTCATCCTGGCAATATACACCTCTCTGGAAACCGTCCTTTCTTTCCATGTATAACTTGTCTGTCTCTGCTACTTTATCTTCAAGCTGAACACCAGAGAAATAGTTCCCACACAGTCTGAGAAAAGAGAGATCATATAGG